CCCCTCTCGTCGCCTCCGAAGAGTGGTCCCTCTCTCCGCGTCTTGACCGCACGTGGATCGGATGACGCATCGAATCGGAAGGGGGGCTTCTCTGGCCACGGCGAGCCGCGGCCACGAACAGGCTCCGCGACGAGAAGCGCCCCTGAGAACAAGAGCCCCTCCCGAGCCCAGAGCGGCCCGTGCACGTCAGCGCCCCGTCTGCACCGGATTCGGAGGACGGATCTGATCAAGACCGCAGGCGAGCCCCGCCAGACGCAGCCCGGACGAGCAAGCATCCGGGTGATGATGCGCCGGGAGTCTCTCGGATCTGGCGGCTATTTTGGAAATGCCTCGGGCGCCGTGACATGTCAGGGCGTTCCGAAACGCTCTGAGAGCGTTTCGGAACGCGTTGGAACGGCCATATCCTCGTCCTAGCCCCGTCTGGTAACCTCCAGAACAGAACATCCGGGAACATCCGAAAACTAGCAACACCCGAAAACTAGCAAATGCTCTTAGACGCCTTCTAGATGGGGTCGGGGGATCGCGCCGCATCGCCAATGCATCGGCGATGCATCGGGGATGCACCTGCGATGCATCGTCGACGTCGGCGATGCGTCGGCGACGGCGACGTGAAGCAAATCGGGCTCCACATCGAGCCGCATCGGCGATGCGTCGGCGATGCGGCGCGATCCTCCGACCACATCTGCTCCGACCCCACCTGGGATCTGGGAGGCCTGGAGCCCTGGAGCTGATGCATCTGACTACCTACCAGACCACCCCAACCCAACCCGAAGACCCGAATTTCGGGTTGGGGGGGGTACGGGTTCCATGTGTGTTTTCTCGAGCGTCACCGACCCCCCCAACTGGAAATGGAGGTCAAAGCGAGACCTTCGGGTTGGGTTGGGGTGGTTTGGTGGGTGGTGAGCATCCCTGTCCTCAGCCCCGTCCGAAGTCCAGGCGGCGGAGGCTGCCGCCGAAGGCGGGCCGCCGTGGCAGCGGACGGGAAGCGCGCGGCCTCGGGCCGGCGGCGCGGCACCCGGCGAGGGCCCAGGGCAGCGGGGCGGCGTCGGCGACGGCCGGCCAGGCCGACAACATGGCGGGGGGGGGCTTCGGGCCGAGCTCGTCGCACCCCGTTTGCAGAGCAAGGCTCCTCCTCTTCCGCCTTTCGCCCTTTTCCCAGCCATCCTGTGGTGGTTTGGGTCCTCGTTCTGAAGAGACAGCGCCCCGCGTCCCTCCCGCCTCCTCCTCCTCCTCCTCCTCCTCCTCCTCCTCCTCCTCCTCCTCCTCCTCCTCCTCCTCCTCCCTGCGTTTCGCCCACCCGCTACAACGTTCGTGGCCCAATAGGGAGCCCCACCGAAGGCCCCCAGTGGCAGGGTTCGCATGGCGGCCCCGGGCCATTTCGGCACACCCCTTCACGAGGATCGTGGCCCCATAGGGAACTCCACCGAAGGCGCCAATCGCAGGGTTCGAATTGCGGCCTCGCGCCATTTCGGCACACCCTTCGCAATCGTGGCCCCGTAGGGGGCTCCGCCAAAGGCCCCCAATGGCGGGGATCGCATGGCGGCCCCGGGCCATTTCGGCAAACCCCATCACGAGGGTCGCGGCCCCCTAAGGAATTCGACCGACGGCCGCCAGCGGCAGGGTTCGCATGGCGGCCCCAGGCCATTTCGGGACACCTCTCACGGGGATCGTGGCCCCATCGGGGGCCCCACCGAAGGCGCCAGTGGCAGGGTTCGCGTGGCGGCCTCGCGCCATTTCGGCACACCGCGCGAGGATCGCGGCCACATAGGGAGCTCCACCGAAGGCGCCAGTGGCAGGGTTCGCATGGTGGCCTCGCGCCATTTCGGCACGCCCCTCACGAGGATCGCGGCCCCATAGGGAGCCCCACCGAAGGCGCCAGTGGCAGGATTCGCATGGCGGCCTCGGGCCATTTCGGCACACCCTCAACGAGGATCGTGGCCGCGCAGGGAGCTCCACCGAAGGCGCCAGTCGCAAGGTTCGCACGGCGGCCTCGGGACATTTCGGCACAACCCCCGCGAGGATTGTGGCCCAAAGGGGCCCCAGCGAAAGCGCCAGTGGCAAGGTTCGCATGGCGGCCTCGGGGCATTTGGGCACGCACCCCTCACGAGGATCGTGGCCCCACAGGAGCTCCACCGAAGGCGCCAGTGGCAAGGTTCGCATGGCGGCCCCGGGCCATTCCGGCACACCCCTCACGAGGATCGTGGCCTCATACTTCTGTTGTTTCAACAACCGCGCCTGGGCGTCGTACTCCGCCATGTCGACGTGCAACGCCACCTCTTCCCTCATGGCTCTCAAACCCTCTCCTGCTTCTGCTCCTCGGTCAGAGGGACGCCGTCCTTGTCGTCGTCGGCGCCCGCGAAGACGGCCACGAACGTGTTTCTGAGCACGTCGGGCTCCAGCGGGAAGCCGTGGCCACATAGGGAGTGCGGGCGAAGATGGTATTCACAATTGCGGTATTCACAACTGCATATGGTTGGGTCCTTCGCTAGGCTATTTTTGACGTTGACCAAACCTGAGTCCTACGAGTGTGGCGCTCTTGAAAAGAACAATGCAATAAACACGACTCGACGCTAAAAGTACCTGGCGGGCGCCGCGGAAGAGGCTGTAGAAAAAGACAGCGGCAATAATAGTGACTAGAACACGCGCCCGCCAGGTCTGACAGCACGTGCCTTAACTGTGACCATGATAATAACAAGTTTGTAAGATCCTTCGCATTATGTGGTACGTGCTGCCTTTGTTGCGTGCACGAAAACACCAGGCGACAGTCACCGATTGCTTCAGACGTGTAGCATCATATAAAATTAAGCGTGTTGAGGCTGGCCTGGGTAGGCTGGCCTCTGATATGAAGATACTGCATATTAGCATGTGAGGTTCAGCTGTCATATGAATATGAGCTGGGCATGGTGAATGCTGGCCTGAGTGGGCTGGCCTGTTGAACATTACGTGCAAGCAAATAAAGCAAGTAAGAAGGCAATTATTGGGCTGCTACCCGCGTTCTTTTCGGTTCCTCGGGGGGGACCCCTTCACCGTCTCAGATCCTGGGGGGGTGCCCCGTCACTGTTGCCACCAGTGTGGTTTTGTTATCCACCCTGTGTGCCAGCTAGGCGTACAAGTGTGCAGCACTTCCAAATCCTCTCCACAGCTCCTCTTGGTAACCCACTCCCCCCGTCTCCAAGTTCAGAGTAAGGCTGGCTGTGATGCAAGCCTGAGAAGTAGGAAAGGGTGCACGTTAACGTCAGGCGTTCCAAAGGCAAGTGGACGGTGCTTGCCTAGAAAGCAGTTCTTGGGCTGCTACCCTGAAGGTCTAAAGATGTGCTGCTGTGCTCGAGCAGTCAAAGAGAGATGTGATAATGCCGGTCGGTGCTGCAGTCCGCCCCCTCCCCGCCTCTATGGAAGCCCACTCCCCACGTCCCCAAGGTCAGGGCGAGGCTGGCTGTGATGCAAGCCTGAGAGATAGCAAAGAGTGCATGTTTGCGTCAGGCGTCTGGGGGTAGAGACATTCACAACTAGTTTTTTTCAGTACGGGACCCCCTGGCACAAGAATGCCTCCCTGCTCGCGTCTCACTGCCCTGAGCCCTCTGGTGCTCACAGATGCTGTATGAAAAGAGGCCGTTGCTCGGCAGCAGAAAAGAAGCATGAGCCGCTCGTAGGTAAGACACCTCATGGTAAATCCAAGACTCTAGTCGCACAGCCGTGCCCGCAGATATTGTTGAGCTCGTCTGCGAACGTCTTGTCGGTCGCTTCGCTTGAGGCCTCTGGCCAGTACTAATCTTGGGGTTTGGGATCCGTCTTTGCGCTCCCGTGCCGTCGAGCAGTGTGCGTTTCAGCTGGCCTGCTCTCGGGGAATGGGGCACCTGCGAACAGCAAATGACAACAGACGAAAACGAACGAACAAAACAATATATACGGAGACGGAAGTTTCTGTACACATGGACCAGATCAAAAAAAAATCAGAAAAGCGGAGAACGACGAAAATGAACACAGGGAACGTCGCCTTCAGTGATCTCGGATGTGTCTGTCTTCTCTGGCGGCGGAAAATGAGCAGAACCACATGGATGTGCTTGCTCGGGGATGTTGTCTGTGGCATCGCAGCGCTCCGCAGTCTCTCCATCCATCGGTCATGGGCACCGTGGCTCAAGTTTTTTGCTGGCGATCCCCAAGCCGACCCCTTTCAGCCTCCTGCTCGGAATAGCTTGGGGGATCCTGATTTGCGTTTCAGTGCATTCGATCAGTGTGCGTTTCAGCTGGCGTGCTCTCGGGTCCTTCAGTGATCTCGGATATGTCTGCCTTCTCAGGCGGCGGAGAATGAGCGGAGCCACATCATCATCATAACCACCACCACCACCACCACCATCATCATCATCATCATCATCATCATCATCATCAGCATCATCATCATCACCAGCATCAGAATCCTCATCATCACCATCATAGTCATCATAACCATCCTCATCCTCATCTTCATCCTTATCATCAACAGCATGAACATCAACACCAGCATCATGATCATGATCAGGATAATCATCATCAGCAGTAGCATCAGCAGGCAGCATCAGCATCAGCATATTCATCATCTCCATCACCAGCATCATGTTCATGAGCATGAGTGTGAGCAGGAGCATCATCATCATCATCATCATCATCATCAGCTGAAGCATCATCATCATACTCAGGATCATCATCATCACCATCATCACCATCATCACGAGCAGCAGCAGTAACAGCAGCAGCAGCAGCAACGGCAGCATCAGCATCAGCATCAGCATCAGTATCATCATCATCACCATCATCATCAACATCATCATCACCATCATCACCATCCTCCTCATCATCCTCCTCATCATGGCTCTCCTCAGCCTGGGGACGCGAAGTGTCACACGAAGCGGCCTCCCGTGCTCCCTCGAACGCTCGCCACCCAGAATTCTGGGCTGGCACGGTGGCGAGACCTGCCGCAGGTAGCTGGACACTTTCGTATCACGAGAAGGGCCACGTGCTCTGCTCCGCGGCACTGCACGGAGAAGGCAACTCACACCACCAAGCCTGGACAATACAGCCGCACAAACTTGCAGGCTCGGTGCATAGCTGCCCGCATGTCCGCCTAGAGCAGGACTACACCCTTTCTAGGACCACACTTTCGATTCCAATAGTAGTGGCATGGGCCGACATTGAACCAACCCTATATGGACGACACGGATGAGTGGTCCTCATATGTACCGGGGCGTCCTGTGGCCTCCTCTCTGCGGACTGGCGTCTCCCGCGGCTGGGTCGACCTCGCAATTCCGTGGGATCTTGATACGCTGCGCGTCGAATGTGAGCTTGACACGCTCCCGGATGGATGGCGGATAGTCCTCGAAGCTCGGTGACTTTATCCACGCCCGCAGGGTAACTTCAACACCATCCTCACCCATCCCTGTCAGTAGAACCGTCGGGGGCGGTTGCTTCAGGCACAGCAGCTCTTGAGCCGCCGCCTGCAGCAGGAGAGCCTTCACCTTCAGATAGTCCTCGTCGTTGCTGATCATGAAGAGAACATCGATGCGCTTGGTTCCCAAAGATGACATGTTGGCAAGCGTGCTGATTTTCCGGTTCGGCACGATGTGGATGCTGTTGTCCGTGGTCCGCATGATCGTATGGAGCAGGCCTACCTCCGTGACCCAGCCCGAGCATGACGCCTCATCAGACAATTCAATGTATTCTCCGACCTTGAATGGTTTGAACATGATGAGCATGATGCCCCTCGCAATGTCTTCCAGTACGCCTTGCAGAGCCAAGCCAACTCCAATTCCCATTGTGGCGAACACGCCAACTAATCCAAAGAGCTGAATGCCCATCAAACTGGCGACCGCCATAAACAGCACTACCTTCAAGCCGACTGACACGAAACTCACGAAGAATTTGAGTATGGTCGGGTCAATCCCTCGGCCCTTTGGGAAGTAGCTCTGCTGGCTGTCATCCGAATCCTCGTCCGAGTCGTCGATCTCACCGCTCTTGGAGTTGCCAATCACCTTCGGCAGTTTCACCCTCGACAGCCATTTGTCGAGGCAGGAGGTGAAGCACTTGATGAGCAACAGGCCAACGATAAGGACAGCCAGCGGTCTGACCAGGGTCGGCAGCCAGTGCCACAACCACCTGAACCATTCCCAAGCCTCCTCGGAGAGCTCCCCGGCGCTCATGTCGGCCATCGTCTTTGGCTCAGTCGTGGTGGTGTTGGTCCCAGAGGGCTCCGCATCGCCCGCGCCCAGCAAGAAATCCATCTGCCGCGACCAGCCCTCCGTGCCTGGAGGCAGAACAATATGCACCACCACGTCTCAAAACACACTTTTGGGGCCCAGGCCCGGGTGAGAGTCAGGCCCCAAGCCAGGCCAAGAAGCCTGAGGCACCAAGGCCCGGCCCCACATCGGGCACGGGGACACGACTGCCTCTCTGCCATGACGAGCTGGGCGCTGGCTTCTTACACCGCGGGGACCGTTCAGCCTCCAACGACCGCAACTTTCCGAGAGCTCCGACCGCTCGACGTCGGACGATTCCGTGCCCTGGGCAGCGCTCCCGCTCGAACGCCCGCGCTGGGGACTCCGCCGCCTCCGCGTGGCGCGAGCCTGCCGTTCCCGGTGGCGATGGTGAGGGCCGTCCCTCTCCCGAATGCCGGCCAGAAACGAGCGCAAACCGTCCGCCCGAGGCTCGCTGCTGCGCAAGAGCGCGAGCGATCCAACCGGTCCGCCTGCGAAGACTCGAGCCGCCGCGGCTTTTGAGCCAAAACGACCCACCGGCCCTCCTGAGCAGTTAAGACGGCTCCTCGTTGACTACCTACCAGACCACCCCAACCCAACCCGAAGACCCGAATTTCGGGTTGGGGGGGGTACGGGTTCCATACGTGTTTTTCGATGTTCCCCGACCCCCCCCAACTGGAAATGGAGGGCAAATTGAGGCCTTCGGGTTGGGTTGGGGTGCTTTGGTGGGTGGTGACTCGTGACGTCTTCATCCCGAAAATACAATGAACAAGTTGCCATTCTCCTTTTCCTCCTCGTATGCAGGGTCGGCGGCACCAGCCGCAAGGCCTTCACAGTATTCTCCTCCACGTATACAGAGGCACCCTCGCTGGGCGGGCCGCTATTACTCCGCGAGCCTCCAGCGCCCACTGGTCGGAGTTGCCTCTGTATTTTGGAACGGACTATGGTACATGTATTTGTCGTCCTCTAGCCCGCCCCCTCGTGGCTTCTCCCTCTCCCGTTCTCCCTCCTGGCGCTGTTTTTTCTTGCGGCGGCCAGCTGTCTGCTCAGGAAGTCTGGACGTTGGCCAGGGGCGTTTCGGCCGCGTTCGCAGGACCGCTTGTGTAGTTTTGTGCGCAATGCGCTGCACTGCCTGCGTTTCCGCCCCTCCTCTTCCTCCTCCTCCTCCTCCTCCTCCTCCTCCTCCTCCTCCTCCTCCTCCTCCCCCTCGTCCTCCCTAGGTTGCCCAGGTGTGCAGTCCTTTGCTGGTGTCCTTGAGTGGCCCACATCTCCTCTCCTCGGCGTAGAGGCTGTAGGGTTTCCCGCAGCAGCCGCCGCAGCTCGCTCGGTGTTTCCGCTTGCCTGCTGGGTTTTTCCTGGTTTTATCCTTCTCCTCTCTCAGTCCCTTTCCTCGCCCTCTTGTTTTCCTCACCAGTGGAGCTGTTGCGTTTTTGTTAAAAGATGTCGTATCGCACCGGCTGCGTGGCGACAGTGGACTGGTTCACTTCAAACATGCGTCGTTCGAGGATTTGCCGTGGGGGAAAAACAATCGATCTTCACAATATTGCCGTATGCTGCGCTGCAGGTGCCAGAGGTTCTGCCACGGAATCTGGCACAGGTGGCGCCTCAAGTTGCACCACAATGTGCGCCGTCGGCCGCCGAAACTCGACTTTGCCTGCTGTTGCTGGCGCCATTCATTGCGCCCAGTTGGTAGCGGCATCGGCTAAGCCCTCGGCAGCCACACTTAACAACCGCCTGCTGTTGGTCGCAGATACTGCTGTGCGCCGCGGCCGCCATGCAATTGGTGCGCAATGTGCTGAGCCCTCGGCAACCAAAACTTCACGTCGCCTGCTATTTCTTGCGCCATAGAACGCGCACCAAAACAAGACCCGTCTGCTAATGGTGGGTACGACTGGTTCAATCAGGTGGTCGACAGGCGGAGCGAGAATTTGTTTGAGGCGAACAAAGAAATTCTCAGAGGCCCAACGAGGAAATCCGATTCCCCCAACCACGACATCCCCCAGACCGAACCAGGAACCTTCAAACCAAAGAGACGCCGAATTTGTCGGAAAACCCGCGAGGTAATTTCAGCAGGCCCGGAGACGCCCGGGACACCTGCCACTTCACCCTCGGGGTGCTTCCCAGGGCGGCAGTTTTCACGTGGCGTAGGGCCTCCCGAAGCCTCAGGCCAGCCCCGCCCCAAGCCGGCTCCGCCCCCCGACCGGGGACCACGAACCTCCCTGCGGAGGCCCCCAGGCGGTGAACCATCCGTAAAACTCACAGAACTCATTGAGATCTGAATGTTACGGGAGACTCACCCCCGCAATCCGGCCCCGCCCCAGGCCAGCTCCACCCCCCGACTGAGGACCACGAACCTCCTTGCAGAGGCCCCCAGGCGGTGAACCATCCGCAAGATTCAAAGAACTCATTGAGATCTGAATGTTACGGGAGATTCACCCCCGCAACCCGGCCCCGCCCCGGGCCAGGCCGGCTCCACCCCCCGACTGCAGCTCCTTGCAGAGGCCCCCAGGCGGTGAACCATCCGTAAAACTCACAGAACTCAATGAGATCTGAATGTTACGGGAGATTCACCGCCGCAGCCCGGCCCCGCCCCAGGCCGGCTCCACCCCCCGACTGAGGACCGCGAACCTCTCTGCCGTGCATTTTACGGGAGATTCGCCGCCACAGGCCGGCGCCGCCCCAAGCCAGTTCCGCCCCCCGACCGAGGACCGCGAACCTCCCTGCGGAGGCCTCCAGGCTGTGAACCTTCCGTGAAACTCCTGGAGCTCAAGAAGATCTGTGAATTTCACGGGAGATTCACCGCCCCAGGCTGGCTCCGCCCCAGGCCGGCGGCCAGCTCCGCCCCCTGACCGAGGACCGCGAACCTCCCTGCGCGCGGAGGCCTCCAGGCAGGCGGTGAACCTTCCGTGGAACTCACAAGACTCAGTGGGATCTGTGAATTGTACCGGAGACTCACCGCCCCAAGCCAGCTCCGCCCCAAGCCGGCTCCTCCCTTCCTCCGCCCTTCCTCCTCCCTTTCTCCTCCCTTCCTCCTCTTCCCTTCCTCCTCCTCGTCATCCCTCCTCCTCCTCACCCTGTTGCTCATGCTCTTTTCCTCGCCCTCGACCTCGCCCTCGCCCCCCTCCTTCTCCTCCGTCTGCCCCTCCCCCCACCCCCCACCCATCGTCCTCATCATTTCTGACTGGGGGAATTTCGGCCCCCCACCCCCCTCCTTTTCAGCGCACATAAGGAAACATGTCCGAACACGGCGGTACGTCGTACCCGCCGCTGCCCTGTCCTCGACCTCGGGAACGAAGGCTTCCCCCTTGAAAGGCGGGGGCACAGGGGTGGGGCCCTGTCTTCGACCGCGGTGAAACATGGGGGTGGGGCCCTGTCTTCGACCACGGTGAAACATGAATAGGGTGAGGCCCTCCCCGCCCTCGCGGGGCGGCCTTGCTCCCTGGGGCGTGGTCGGGGGTCAGGGGCGGAGGGGATTCAGGGACTTCTGAATTAGGACCAGAAGGTGGGGAGGAGGAGGAGGAGGAGCGCCAACCGTCAGGGGGGGGGGAGGGCGGGGAGGGTCCGGAGAAGTCCTGCAGGAAGGCCACGGCGAGCGAGCACGCGGGCACGAGCAGCCAGGACCTGCCGCAAGTGCACGGGACTGCGCTTCCCTGCGGCGCGGCAGTGGTGGAACGCCGTCGTTGCGAGTTCGACCGCCAGTGCATGGGAAATGACCGACTCTGGCGTGTCGGAGGGCCACCGACATGCAAGCATGCAATCGAGAGGATCTTCATCACCCCACGTTGGTGGGAGCTGAGGGAGAAACGGCACGAGCAAAAAGCGAAGAAGAGGGCAGCAGAAATAGTGGAGGAGAGAGTCCCCACCCACGGCTTGGCAACCCCAGACGCACCAGGAGGGCCCTTGACGGAATCTCCTGGAGGTGGGCCACGCATTACACAAAACTTTAGTCAGCGAAGTCAGATAAAAAGAGGGGAGGCGGGAGCTCACGAGCTTAAATCGCCGAAGACAAACCAACACATCTTGATGAGAGAAGACGCCGGTCCAGTATCTGAGTCGGGCACCCAGGAGATCAGTAGGATGGGGAAGGGGTTGATGGTGAAGTAGGAAGTGGTAGATTTTGGCCTGTAGAGCTCTAGGTGGAGCATCGGCGGGGTTCCCAGGGAGCCCAAGGAAATGGTCACGAGCACGAACATGATGAGAGAGAATGGAATCCGAGTGGAAAGGGTTGTCGAGGCACTGCAGACACACCTCCGTCGATTCCCATGCTCGCCTGCACGACGCCTCACACGCGGGGAGGGCCTCCGATAGGAGCGCTGAGCGTGTAAGAGCACTTCTCGCTGCCAGGTCCAATGATCTCAATTGAACGGGGAAGTGCACAGACTTGAGGTTGGCGAGCAGGATGGGAGGGAGCGAATGACGGGGAGCACGGGTGAGAAGTTGATGACACTCTCGTACTATGGCCTTGGCTTCGCGAGGAGGCTCAAATAGTTGGGCCACGTGGCCAACCGCTGGGAGCGCATATCTGTTCCAGGCAACCACAGAGTGAATAAAGCTGAGGCCCAAATTCTTGACGAGGTGGGTCCGTTCCCTCAATTTTGCCAGCGGGGCCCTCCAGGACATATTCCGCCCACCCAGCCCAAGGAAGACACCAAGGTATTTTGCACATTGGGAGATCTGGAAGGGGCCCACATCGAGGCCCTGGTCGCCGAACAGCCTGCGGACATCTGCTTCATTAAACTGACGAGGAACGATGATGTGGCACTTCGAAAAATTGAGCGCCAGACCAGTGGCCGTTGTGGCTCGGGTGAGCAAAGCGGTGATGATCGGGAGCACCACATACAGGTTGCGTGCTACCAGACCAAGATCATCAGCAAAAGCGCTCAGCGATAGGTCGTGATAGCTCTTCTGGATGAGGGTAGCCTTCAGAACAGGATCCAGGATCAGCGCGAACAGGACTCCCGAGAGGGGGCATCCCTGCTTCATCCCCCTGTGGGCCCAGAAGCCCGAAGGAAACGAGTTCCCCACCGCAATGTACGTCCAAACCTGGGAGTAAAGCGTGATGATTGCCCCGACGATTTTGGTAGGTACCCTCATCTTCCTGAGCACGGCGAAGATCCACCTGTGGAAAACACTCGGGAACGCGTTCTTGAAATCAAAGAGGCAGGCCGCCGCCTCCTTAATGCCCAAGGTGTGAGACCAGGTGAATAACGATGAGTCCATCTCAAGAATGTTATCTAGCATAGAACGACCCCTCACGAATCCTCTCTGACAGGCCTGAACTCGATCAGCCGCGAGAGAGTTAAGCGGGTGGGCGAGCAAGGACGAGTAGATCTTGTTATCTGAGTTCGAGAGCGAGAGCATGCGGGTTTGACAGGGGGTACGAATTTCAGCACCTTTGGACTTCAGGTCACCCTTGGGCGGGAAGGCAGCACGGCAGTAGTTAAATTCCTGACTTACACGATGCTCATTCACCAGGCAGAGGAAGCCGTCATACAGAAACTGGTGGGCGAGATCGGGGGCCATGCGCCAGGCCGAGTAGGGGATCCCGTCAGGACCAGGGGCCGTGTCTTT